GGTGGCGGGAGGGGCTGCTCAAGTCCAGCTTCAACTACCTGCTGCTGGATCCCAGGTAAGAGCCCCTCCGGATGGGGGGAATTGGGGGGAAAACGGCTGCCTGGGCCGCCAGCTTTGGGGGCACCAGGGAGACCCCCGCTGTGGCTGATGGTCTCGTGGCTCTGCTCTTCCGCAGGGTGACCCAGAACCTGCCCGCCCGCTGCCAGCTCCTCAGCCCGGCCGAGTGCTTCCGGACGTTTGTCCGCGCCATCTTCTACGTGGGCAAAGGGACGCGCGGCCGGCCCTACCGCCACCTCTACGAAGCCTTGACCCACCACCGGGAGGGCCAGGGGGCGCCGGCAAGGCAGGTGGGCAGCCCTCGGCAGCTCTGAGGCCAGCCTGGGCATCCTCCGGAGGGTTCTCTGGAGTCTCGGCCTCCTCCGCTACGCACGGAGCTTCCAAATTCAGGGGCAGTCTAGCTTCGATCACCATGGATTGATCTTTGACCGCTTGGCGTGGCAGAAACCTTTGGCTGCCTGACCTCGGGGTCGGTAGCCGCTGCTCTACCCTTCCCAAGTGGGGGTTAGATTACAACCCCCAGAATCCCCCCCCTGCAGAACTCATGGGAGTGGGAGGCTCAATTTGGGGAAGGGGTGGTGACCATCTGGATCCATCTCCCTCTCCCTCCACACAGAAGCCTGGGTTTGGCCCCAAGGCGGTGGGCGGGGCATGGTTCTGTCCGTCTCTCAGTGGCTGCTCCCCTTTGACTGGGGGTCCCCCTCTGCCCGGCAGGTCTGCTTGAAAGTCCAGCACATCCTGGAGATCTGGGCCGGGGGACAGGGGGTGGTCTCCATGCACTGCTTCCAGAATGTTGTTCCCGTGGAGGCGTACACCCGCGAGGCCTGCATGGTGGAGGCCATTGGTAAGTGCTCTGGGGGTCCGCGTGACATGGGGGGGCTCCCTCTTCCTTGCAGGCTCCCTTCGTCCTTGCCCACCCAGGTGGGTTGAGTCTGGACCCCAAATAGGCCCATTTGCTGAAAACAGTCCAGCCTCTATCTCTCTCCCTCTGTCTCTCCCTCTCTCCCTCCCCCTCCTCTCTCTCTCTCTCTCTCTCTCTCTCTCTCACACACACACACACACACACACACACACACACACACACACACACACACCCCGTTTCCATAGAGTTTCCTAGGGCTGGAAGGGACCTTGGAGGTCTTCTAGTCCAGGGGTCTCCAACCCTGGCAACTTTACGACTTGTGAACTTCAACTCCCAGAATTCCTCAGCCAGTCTCCAACTTTGGGAATGTTAACGACTTGTGGACTTCAATTCCCGGAATTCCTCAGCCAGCAGGGCTGGCTGAGGAATTCTGGGAGTTGAAGTCCACAAGTCCTAAACTCGCCAAGGTTGCAGACCCCTGTATCTAGTCCAGCCCCCTGCCCAAGACAGGAATGAGTTTCATCCATTTTCTTTCTGCCTTTGGCCACAGTTGCTTCCTCCCCCCCCCAGCCCTTCCCAACCCTGTTCCCCCCTCCCTAGACCCTTGGGAGGGAGGGGGACTTTGCCCAAACACCTTCCTACCCCAGGCATTGGCATTTGGGGCAGCCCCCTGTGTAGGGAGGGTGGGAATTGGGAGATTCTCCCAGGGGTGGCGATTCCCAGTAGGGCGTGTGTGTGTGTGTTTGTATTGTGTGATTGCAAGCCCCTTCTCTCTTGCCTCTCCCCCCCCCCCAGGACTGAAGATGCTGACCAATCAGAAGAAGGGGAACTATTATGGCCTGGTGGCCGGCTGGCCCATGAAACGCCGTCGCAGCCTGGGGGTCTTCCTTCTGCACCGAGCTCTCCAGGTCTTCCTGGGGGAGGGCGAGAGGCAGCTGCGCCCCGCTGATATCTGAACTGGCCCTTGACCCCGGGGGTCCCGGGGGCCCTTCCCTCCAAGCAGACCCTCTGGATCCAGAGCTCCACCGGGGGGAGTCGACCTGATCCCTCGTTCACACAACCGAAGGTCCAGATTCTGGAATTGCTCCTCTTCTTGACGCTGAGCGGAGACGGAGAGCTGCACCCGTGTTTGGAAGCGATTTTGGGTGGGGGGTCCCAGTTGCATCCAGTCACGTGGTGGGAGAGGGTCCCCCCTTCTGGAGGGTCCTGGAATGGAGCCGCCGTGGGGCTCGGATCCTTCCCACGCAAGGAGGAGGCCGCTGTGGACTCAGCCCCCCCAGCCCTTCGTCCGTGGGGGGACCCCGGGGGTCTTCCTGTACGCTTAAGAAGCCTTGGTCAGTTCTGCTGTTCTGGGAACGAAAGACGCAGTTCTCTCCTCTCGTTCAGGTTCTCTCCGGGCTGGAGACCCCTTTTTATGTCTAGCAGTGGAGACTTTTTAAAAAAATTCTGGGGCTGCATTATGTTTTTAAAGAATTTTTTTCCATTTCTCCCTTATCTGGGATTGAAGGCATTAAATGAGGTTTTTTTTTAAGGGGGGAAGAGTCTGCTGGATTCTGCGCTTGATCCTTTTCTGGGACCCTCCTCTTTTTTTTGAAATGGGGAGGGGGTGTGATTAAGCAGGAGGATTAGCAACCCCAGGGCCTTCGTCTTTCTTTAAGGACCGTCCTCAACTTATGACCGATCACTTAGTGACTGTTAGAGGTTCCGATGAAACCCCCCCCCCCAAATGTACTTAGAACTGGGAATTTGAAGTTGTGACGGCTGTCCCCTCCCCCGCTATCCTGTAAGCACATTCTGGGCACTTGGGCAAGGCCTTCATTAAATAATTAATAATAATAGTAAATAGTAATATTACTAAATAATAATATTATTATTATTATTATTATTATTATTATTATTATTATTATTATTTTATTATTCAACTGGAGCACCACTTGAACACCATCATTGGCATTGACAAATTCGCCATTAGTCAATTGCAAAAGGCGGCCTTACTAGGCACTGCTTCCATCCTGCGACGAGATCTGTGATACCATCAAACATCCACATCTGCCTATCCCAGGTCCTGGGAAAGGACTCGATAGGTAGACAAAAATGCCAAATCCAGTCTGAACATCTGGCTGACTGTGCGATGATCCATAATAATAATAATAGTTGAAAGGGACCTTGGAGGTCATCTAGTCCAGCCCCCTGCCCAAGCCTCTACCTCTACCATTCCAGACAAATGGCTGTCCAGTCTCTTCTTAAAAACTTCCAACGTTGGAGCATTCACCACTTCTGGAGGCAGGTGGTTCCACTGGCTAACTGTTCTAACGGTCAGGAAATTTCTTCACGGTCTCCAGCTATATATTTATTAATTAAATTTAGGCACCGCCCGTCTTGTTTCTAAGCAACTCCGGGCGCTCTGTTGCAGATAATGGGTCTCTCTTAACGACCGCCCCATTCACTTTACAGCTGATGTGTTTGCTTAGCGACCACTGCAAAAAAATGTCATAAAATCAGGTCGGTCACGTGGGCGTCTTGCGACTTAACGACTGTCGTGATATATGAGGGAAATCCCAGGGTCTGTTACGGCCATAAGTTGCGGACTAGCCGTCTCCCCCAGCCTCATGAAAACCTTTGCCCCCTCCTCAAAAGGAGAAAAGCCGGGTTTTGCTGGGTTGGGGGCAAATTGGGGAGCCCCGAATCTCTGACGGACGGTGCTGCTTGACCAGGTGTCCAAAGTGGGGGCTGCAAGCAAGCCTCAGTTTGGTTCGGGGGGGGGGGAAATAGCCAGGTTGCCCTTCTGTGGGCGCCCCCCCCAACTTTCTCCCCTCCAGCCCTTTCACTCTGAGGTGCTGGCGGCCTTTGCGATGCGAGGCTGCAAATGGTTTTGCAAACTTTTCTGGATGTGCAGAGAGGAACCAAATTGGAACCAAACCATCAACCACCAGAAAAACCTAGAAACCCCCCTCCACACACACACACACACAGCCCCTGATTCCCGGGCCCATTTGTGGAACGATCTGTTCAGTGGACGGGATCTTTTCCAGCCCCCGGAGGGCTTCCTGGGAGGGGAGAACGAGGGGGGGGGAATCCCACCTTTTCTCTATTTCAGCCAGGAATGCAAAGCCAGGCTCCATTTTTCTGGTGCAAAAATCCCTCTTTCTGTTCTTTCTTTCCCTTTTCTTTCTTTTCCTTCCTTCCTCCCTCCCTTCCTTTTCTTTTCCTTCCTCCCTCACTTCCCTCCTCTTTCTCTCTTTTCCTTCCTTCCTCCCTCTCTTTTCTTTTCTTCCCTCCCTTCCTCTTTTCCTTCCTCCCTCCCTTCCTTCCTCTTTCTTTTTTTTCCTTCCTTCCTTTTCTTTTCCTTCCTCCCTCACTTCCCTCCTCTTTCTCTCTTTTCCTTCCTTCCTTCCTCCCTCCCTCCCTTTTCTTTTCTTCCCTCCCTTCCTTCCTCTTCCTCTTTTCCTTCCTTTCTTCCTCCCTCCCTCCCTTCCTTCCTCTTTCTCTCTTTTTTCCTTCCTTCCTTCCTTCCTTCCTTCCTTCTACAAATAAGGCAGTAAATCCAGTGGCATCCAACACACCTTCCTCTTTCCCCAACAACAACCCTGTGAGGTGGGTTGGGCTGAGGAAGAGGGACTGGCCCAGGGTCATCCTGCCAGCTCTCATGGCTGGCTTCCAGTTGGGTCCTTGGGGCTGCCCCATGGGGTGGGCAGTGGGGAAGGGGGCAGCCCCAGAGACGCCCTTGTGGGGGTCTCCCTGGGAAGGACCAGAGCCAGCCTGATCCCAGGCACAGACCGTCGCCCTGCAAGGGGGAGAGGGCACCACATGGTGTCTCTCAGCAAATCGGTCTTGATGGGTGAATTCAAGAGACGGAAGCCCACCTCTCCGGGACACGAGATCCTTTATTTAGGATTTGGGCAGAACACCGGGGCGTAGACCGGGGCTTCTTTCCTGGAAGGGAGGTTGAACTGGCAGCCATCAAAAAGTCCCTGCTTACGTTTTCAAACAGATGAATATCCTCTAAGAGGTGAGTTCGAGCCCTTCCCACGTCCGGCTGTCAGTCAAAGCTGAATGTCAGAACCCGCATTATTAAAGGGTTTTTTTCTAACTCTGGTTCTTCTGTTCTTCTGGGTCAGGGGTAGGCAACCTTGGCTCTTTTATGACTCATGGACTTCAACTCCCAGAATTCCTGAGCCAGCTATGCTGGCTCAGGAATTCTGGGAGTTGAAGTCCATGAGTCATAAAAGAGCCAAGGTTGCCTACCCCTGTTCTGGATTCTGCCATACTCCTGGAAGGGAGGCGGGAAGACGCTGGGGGCTGCCTCTTTGTTTCTGCCTTTAGCTGTCTCTGCATACTTGCGCTCTTTGAACTGTCTCTCCCTTGATGTCAGCTTGGGGGGGGGGGAGAAAGGAATGTGACCCAACCAACATTGCTACGAGTATCAGCTCTTTCCCACAACGGACTTAACACCTGGGGATTGGCCCATTCGAACTGACCAGATGGGTTTGCTTGGGACTCTCTTAACCTATCGATCCGAGCGGGAAACCCTCAGATCCTGCCTTCTATGCCTGCTGTCAACTTCTCCTAATAAAAGTTCCTTTTGGAAGAAACGGCTTCCAACGAGTTCTGCTTCCTTAGGATGAGGTTTTGAAGTGGGCCTGACGTTAGACAGGATCTGTAGAAACAGCCCGGAAGGCAGACCCTTAACTGGGGGACTTGGCAAATCATGTCAGACAATGGAATAGAGAGAGAGGAGCCTGCAATGGGGGGGGAAGCCTCCCGCCGGGCAGACCCCTGCAATTACTCAAGCTCTGGATCCTCGAGCTTCTCGGAGGAGGAAGTGGTCACAGAACGCTGCCACAAGCCCAAGTGGTCGATGGGCGTCGGAAAGAAGGAGGACTGGGAGAAGAAGGCCAGGAAGGTGACACTCAGACGGGGCAGTCATCAGCCAGGTTGGAAGGTGGAGATGGAGAGGTCCCTCCATTTTAGCAAAGACAAGGAGGACCGCCTGATGTACTCCAGCTGATTGTTGGAGCAGGCAATCGGCATGATGAAGTTAACACTCGACTCCATGAAGGAGGAGAAAGCTGAACCACACGGGCTCCATTCACCTGGGCTCCACCGAGAAGACCGACGAAGGGGAAGCTGAACCAGGGGTCCCGAACCCTTCCAAAGGCAACAACGAAACCACAGCTGCCGCGGCTGCCACAACTGCCTCTCACCAAGCAGCCACTGCAGACAGAGGGGAGATGACACAAGTGGTAGAAGAGGCACTGACCCATCCAGAAGCTCCCACTGCTGGATGTAAAGTACCGTGGGGAGCCACGGCCCCTGGGATTCTTCCTGACCCTGGTGCTAAATTACATGGAGGAATACAGCCGTGACATTCCAAGTGACCGAGCCAGGGTCACTGCATCGTACAAGCCACCCTGGATGGCACTGTGGTGGATTGGGTCATAGACCTCCATGATGCAGATGCACCGGAGCTACTCCAATCAATTCATGGCTGTTCTCAGGCATCGCTTTGGGGACCCCTTGGCTGACCGGAATGCCCGGGAGCAGATAAAGACAGTGAAACAAGGCAGGCGACCGGTGGCAGAATACGCCCAGGAGTTCCAAGCCCTGGCCAGCAAGCTGAATTAGCCGGAGGACATCCTGCTCAGCCACTTCAAGGATGGGTTAAACTACAACCTCTACGACGCCTCCCTCCCTCGAGGAGACCCCCACCAGTTGCAAGACTGGTACGTCCTGGCTGAAGAAGTGGAGATTGACCTGGCCAAGAGACAACGCCGAGGGGGAAGATCATGGGGGAAGTCGCCATCGGAGCTGACCCGCGGACCAGCAAAGCAACCATCAGCAACCAAGAGAACCTCAGGATGTTTCAAATGCAGGAAAGAGGGACACCGCGCTGCCGAATGCCGCTCGCTCACCCCTACCCGAAAGCCTGACACAGCTCCAGCCGGAAGACCCGGGAAGACCCC